GGGGGGGGGGGGTGATGATGTCACCAGGACAGGAATGCACAGGCAGCAAGCAATAAAAAAATTGTCATAGGTTCTAACTCTTCCTCGTTCTACTATAAATGTGTTTTTGTCTCTCAATATTTCACTGTTGAAATGCTTTGCCCTGACAGGAAGAAAGTGTAAATCAGATCCATTGAACATACATATAGAAATACATGTCACTAGAATAAAGTAAAGCTTTGCATGGTTCTCCATGTGTCTGTAACAAACATTACGGGTCATTGAAGTTCTGAGAAAGTTCTCCATCAATTTCCAAACTGACAAATGTGTAATATTCGTATGTTCCTAACTCACCTAAATGTGTCTCCGACTCTGTCATGGAAATAAATAAATTTCTGCTGGTCGACCATTAAAATATCCCCAGTGTTAAAATACATGTCTCCTTTCCGGAACACGTCCTTAAGTATCTTCTTCTCTGTGTGAGTCTGGTCTCCGGCATACCCTCCAAATGGGGACAAGCTGGTAATCTTACTGATCAGAAGCCCAGGCTGGCCTACGAGAAGAGAGATAATACCGGTCAGGCAAAGATACAAAGGATAACTGGTACAGACTGTGATTAAAGGTAAATCTGTCATGGAGAAATGAGGAAGCCACAACTGAAGACCTCCTGAAAATGCTAGTTGCCTGGCTGCCATGCTGATGCAATAGATTTATTACTAATGCGTGGCTCCACCACTGGTCCATAACAAGTATAGATATAGAATTATGATATACTCACCCGATCCCCGAGGCTTCCGGCTGTGGCAGTGCTCCCTGTAGTCTCTAGGCATCCTCACGTCCTATTTACAGTGTATAGAATATGATGACGCAGGGAGCTTAGACCGCTGTAGCAGAGGGGGAGAGAGGCTCCAGGGGCCGGTCTAAGAGCAAGTCGGCTTGAAGGATCGGGTGAGTATGACTTTTTTTTTGGCCCTAGATGAAAATGAGCACTTAACACTTGCAGTGCAGGGATAGACCCAATGCAATGGTTAATCATTTTTTACCTGGAGTTCTACTTTAAAAACACATATAAAGATGTATTCATGATTACAGAGCTGCAATTATAATTGGTGTCTTATATCTGACTGAAGTTCAGCTTTCAGAGGGAGGGGAAAGATAAACGAAACAGCAGCAAACAAATTACCATCTAAGTTCTTTTTTATATTTTTACTAAGCGTGTGTGTTTTGAAGCCGTTCATAGGTCCGGAATATTAGAAAGTCCAGAACTCACTTGGCCCAGTATGCTGTAATATAGATACATAGATAATATAGAGGCAGCCGAGTGAATAACGACCCGAAGTAAAGTGAGCCGAATGCTGTTCGGCTATTCACTTCAGGCTTGTACGGCGGATTTCAGCTGTACACCGACTGAAATCAGCCGTACATGGGGTGGCTTCGGGTGGCTGTGGCTGGCTTTGGGTCGGCCAAACATGCTCAGCATGTTCAGCTGACCCGAAGTGTAGAAGGAGTTCGACTCAGCCGATCCAACATCTGGATCGGAAGAGCCGAACCTCCGGTAGGCTACTTGCTGCTGTTCGGCCTTTTCTCATAGATGCCGAACAGCATTCAGCTTGGCTATTCTGCCCGGTACCTCTGTGGTACCAAGCAGAATAGAAAAACAGTTAAAAAAGTAGAAGAAATAAAATAGAAAACGATTGGGCAGAGCTAGCAGTAGCAGCTAGCTCCGCCCAACTGTTTTCTATTGGCCGGGCGGTTCTGCTGCCGTCAAAAAAAAACAAACACCATAGGAATGCATAGCTAGATTCTTATTGGCTATTTCACCTTGCAATAGCCAATAGCAAACTAGCTATTGCACCCGCTTTCTGCTGCTGTCAATCACTAGAACAGGACCTAATGGAGAACTGCAGGTCCCCCTCTGCTGATTGACCGCAGCAGTAGGCGGGTGCAATAGCTAGTTTGCTATTGACTATTGCAAAGTGAAATAGCCAATAGGAATCTAGCTATGCATTCCCATGCTGGCTTTTTTTTTTCTCTGACTGAGGGCGGCCAGCGGCCCCATGTCAGAGAAAAGAAAAAAAAACAGATCGCAAGGAAAGGTTTACTCTGCTCGACCGAGCAGAGTAAACCTTTACGGGAGAAAGTGTTTCTCTCCTGGGCGGCCGGGCGCCGTATTAGACTCCCAGAGCGTCTGGGAAAGTAATGACAGATCAGCTTCCCTGGTTACCGGGTAACCAGGGATGTCATCTGTCATTGCACACGGAGAACCCGGCGAGGCCGTTGTGATATCATAGCGGCCACGCCGGGTTCTCAGTGTGTAATGACAGATGATCTCTCTGCAAGTGTCATCTCACGGCTGGCTCCGCCAAGCTGTCAGAAGCAGGCTGTCAGCTGTCAGAAGCGGCCAGCTTCAGCTTTCACCTCAGCTCAGTCGAGCCGAAGCATATGCCTTCGGCTCGACTGAGCCGCTCGGCCAACTTCGGGAGCTGTACGGGCTATAGTGAATAGCCCGTACAGCAGCCCTTCGGTTCTACTGGGGGTCCTGGGGCCGAAGCATCAGCCGAAGCTACGTCTAGATCCTTAGGCAGCTTAGTGAATAGACCCCACATTGTTTGGTTCCATCTATAAACTGGCATTCCCTGAGCATTAGGACATCTCCACTATGTCACAATATTTATGGGTCTGCTGTATTCACACTACTAACATGAAATCTGTATAGCGTATTTTCTTATAAATGAATGTCTCCTTATTTCCCACTTTGCTTGGGCTGATTTACTAAAGGAAAAGAAAGCTTTCACCTTGCAAAGTGAATCTTCACTTATGGCTTACTAAATAAAGTGAAGTGTTTTTAATGATGATGAAAAAATTAATATTGATCTTTGAGAGTCTGATTTGGTTCTTCTGAATCTTTCTTAATTATGTAAATGAAGTGAAGCCATATTCACTTCAATCATCCAATCTGATACAAGCAAAAGTCCTGTTTTCATGATTGGGTATTAAAAGGGAACACAGCTTGATCGTATTTACTAAACTAAGTGAGCATTACAACATGAATATCTATACACATTTAGTAAATAAACCCCAGGAACTCAAGTCCGTCGAGTGGAGTTCCTTCATAATAGAATAATGCATTCATTACACACCTCTCTTGGCCTTGACACAGCGACCTTTGGCGTCTCGGATAGGCTCGTCCCTTTCAATGTCATATTTAATAAATTCAAATGGAAGTACTTTCTGTTGAAACAAATAAGATACTTTAGAAATTAAAAATACACAATAACAGCTGAATTTATACCAAGATAATGATATATATATTGAAAGACATCAGCAGTAATTAACCCTTGGCAGACTGTGTGCATGGCATGGAGTTAAAATAGTGATAATGCCTTTTTTTTTTTTTGCATTAAGTATTTATAGGAGAATTTTGCTTTATTCAATATACTTGCATGCAGTAGTAAATTGAGGCATTGCAAAGGATTGGCAACATATGATTCTGCTAGTGGACCGCTTGTGCTGAGACATGTTGTCCTGCTAAAGAAAGTAAGAATCAGCCTTCTTCTGAAAATGATACCCAGTAAACTGATGAAAAATGTGCTTTCAGCTCTAGTACACAAAAAGTCACATACTAATTTTGCTAGTAAATCATAAGAGCAGTGGCGTAACAATCGCCATAGCGACCCAGGCGACCGCTATGGGGCCCGGGCACAGGGGGGCCCGGGCAGGGCATCCCTCTGATGCCGTGTAGGCCGCCTCGGTCGCTATGGCATGTAAGGGTGCTGGCTGTCACTGACACAGCTCAGCAGCGGCTGTGAAGATCACTGACAACCTGACAGTGATGTGTGCAGCGGCTTCGGCGCTTTTCCCCTCACAGCCGCTGCAGCGCTGTGTCAGTGACAGCAAGCAGCTGCGGCAGAAGAGGCCGGCGTTCGCAGTAAAGGAGGAGGCGGGGCCGACCTAAGAGAAACCCCGCCCCCTCTTACATCACTGGCCAGCGGCCTAAGAGCAGGCGGGGCCCGTCGATGGAAGAGGAGGCAGGGCCCGGGGACGGAAAAGGAGGCGGGGCCTGGCGACTACAGAGGTGGACAGCGCTGACAGGTAAGAGGTGTGCAGCCCATCTGAGACCCTGCAGAGCCCACAATAGAGACTCTATGGTGGGCTCTGCAGGGTCACTCTCAGGTTGGCTGTTTGGTATATCAGGTGGGCTCTGCAAGTGGCATAACTAGCAATCACGGGGCACCATACAAAATTTTGCTATGGGGCCCTGTGATTTCTAGTTACGCCCCTGCATAAGAGATATGCAAAATTATATGAGACGTTTCAGCATTTATCATATTTAAAGAGTACTGTGCTTCCTGAAGTGTGGTGCACATTTCCCCTTTTAGTGGCTCTCTATGGGGCTGGGATTAAAATGGCGGACTTGGGGGAGCACAGAGAGTCTGGGTCCTTCCCCCCGACTTTATATATCAAGTAAAAGGGGATTGCGTTGTTTGACCTTGTTCTAAGGTCTGTATATAAGGTGAGCAGCACTCTTGTGGGTGATCGGTAATCAGGAATTGGTGGAGTTAGCGTGAACCTATCACATTAAAGCTGTATATGCACCGTTAATATTACATGTATGAATGCAAAGCACTTTATTGATTAAGTTATTTTGTATTGACGTGGATATAAGTCAATTGTAATTGGATCACATTTATATTTATGTGACACATATGTATTATTTATTTCACATGGTATAGAAAGATATAGCGCAGCACATTTGTATATTTTTTGGAGCCCAGAGATGCAAACTTTTAAAGCTCACACGTTTAATCAGTAGTTTCCTCTTATAGTCCATGTGCAAAAAAATGCTTGCTCTAGTGCAGGCTACAAAGCACTAAAGTAAGAATGTCAAAATGGTGTTTCCTGGGTCCTGTGTGTCATTCCCACTCCTTTTTTGCAGACCTCAGTAGTTTAAAGCACTAAATTTGAAAAAAATAACTATATTTGAATTGAATAAAGCATCGTCTGTTCACCAGTTGATAAAGGCTTGACTCCTTTAGGTAATCTTACATCTCAGTATGTCAGGAAATGTTTTATGACCCCTTTACCTTGGATACGGTGTTGTAAGTAGCAATGATTACTATGATGCTATTTACCAAGGTGCTATTAGTATATTGTTATTATACAGGATTAATATCGCACCATAGAGACCGTATAGTTACAATACAATTCAATACAGTAGTGTTAGGAGGGTCCTACTTGTAGGAACTTACAATCTAAAGGGAGAGACATCCATTGTGAGGAATGGGTTTAAGGAGAAAGTAAAAGTATAGTATTTAGGTAAAGGTCGGATAGGCTTCCCTGAAAACATGAGTTTTTAAGTATCGCCTAAAGGCAGACAGGATAGGAGATAGTCAGACAGATTGGGGTAGGGGGATTGTTGTGATCTTTTTCTGTAATTAAACTTAGTTAACACCCACCACCAGCCAAACCACAATGGGCAAGATTTGTAGAAACTGCATCCTTTTCTCTTCTAAATTGCTCTGGGAAAACACATACCTCCAACATCCTGTTTTATTATATATATATATATACATATGGAATTTAGGAATAATATATTACAGAGTGCTTTACAGAGAGTATGGATTTGTTCTCTTCAGCCCCTGTCTCCTGAAGAAGCTCACAATCTAATTTTCCTTCCACACTTGGGCCAATTTTGGAAAGATGCCAGTTAAACCAGAATTCCATTGTAGGACCAGAGCACCCAGAGGAAACATGCGCAAGCATACAGACAACATACATACTCTATGCAGAGAGTGTCCCATGGGTGATTCAAATCCAGGACCCAAAGCTGCAAGGCAACAGTGATATCCACTTTAGGATTTGTGCCTTAGAGTATCTTATTTATGATGCTTAAGACTTGAGAAGAAGGAGCATCCTTTTGCACTCTATAATTTTTGTGCTCTGATACTTGAACTCTTTCTGCGCTCTTCTGATAGAGTAGTAGTAGAGAGACCCTTTTAGATTAGCCTTAAATAAGCCTCCTATGATGCAGTAGCTGTTGTTCCTGCTTGTGCCCCCCAATTCCTTCAGCTAATAATAAAAGTGTAAACCCTAACAATGAACATATTCATTCCCTTTAGATCTGATAACTATAATATTGAAAGCATGTTGCTATACAATAAAATGTCTCCTGCCAGAAATCCAATGCTGTCCTGTGTCCTGTGCACTCTGCAGTGTTACCTTAAACAGTCTTATCTTCATGTCCAGGTTACCTCTATGAACTGCAGAACATAACCCCCTATGTTATGATAATGAGAAGAGGGAGATGTATTTTCTAGTTCTATTATACTTTCTGTCCTAGGATGACAACACTGCTTTTCCATAGATACAGTATACTGAGTGAGCATTGTCATCCAAAGACTTCCTGTCTGTGCAATGAAATACATTTATACCTGTTTAACCCCGTTAAACCTGTGCAAGTAAAGGTTCCCATTCATTTTCCACATCAAAGTTAACTGATAGATCCTGTACACAGTTTTTAATAATTTATGCATAGACAAACAGCTCACAAGGACACATAGTCTGCTAACGGGTTTCAGCTCTGAACCACCTTCATCTTAACAGACTTCACAGGAAGTATGTTACTGGCAAGATCGTAGGAGAAATGTGAAAAAAAGCCTGAAAAAAAAAACTGCTGCAGCCATCACATCTAAGGACTGGAAAGCTGCAATATGTTCTTAATTATTAGTCTTTGTATTGTAAAACAGCTACAAATTAAGGAAGGGCCACCAAGCAGATACATATATCAAATATAAACAAAGGAAGAAACAGCATAAGTCTGGTGGTTGTGAAGAGACATCATTTGAAGTACATTGTACTGTGGACCCTGGACTGTTTTTATGGCCCCTATCAGTTAAATGGCATCATGCATAAGGGTCAGGATACACAAACATTAGTGTTTTCTGGTGACATTTTGTGGATTTGGAACACAGTGTTGCATTTTGAATTGAATCTTTGAGCGGTTAGGTTGAGCAGTTAGGTTGAGGTGGGATAGGCTTCCCTGAAGAGATGTGTCTTTAGTGAACGCATAAAGGCAGTCAAGGTGGGAGACAGACGGACAGGTTGGGCTAAAGAGTTCCAAAGGTTGGGAGAGACTCTACAGAAGTCCTGGAGGCGAGCATGGGAGGAGTTGACAAGGGAGCTGGAAAGCAGGAGGTCTTGGGATGAGCGGAGTGGACGGTTAGGGTGATACTTTGAGACAAGGTTTGAGATATAGTCGGGGGCAGAGTTGTGGATGGCTTTATAAGTGATTGTTAATATTTTGAATTTTATCCTTTGGGCTATTGGAAGCCAATGTAGGGATTGACAGAGGGGGTTTGCAGACACTGAACGGTTGGGTAGGTGAATGAGTCTAGCAGCTGCATTTATGATAGACTGAAGGGGGGATAGCCTGTGTAGTGGAAGGCCAATGAGGAGGGAGTTGCAATAGCCAAGACGAGAGATAACAAGGGAGTGAATGAGTAATTTTGTGGTTTCCTTGGTGAGGAAGGGGCGTATTTTGGAGATGTTACGAAGGTGAAGGCGGCAGGATTTGGATAGTGATTGGATGTGGGGAAGAAAAGTGAGGTCCGTGTCAAGGATGACACCTAGGACCTTGGCATGGAGGCGGGTTGGATAGTTGTGTTAACAATCTCAAGGGAAAAGTTGGGGGAAGGTGCACAGGTGGGAGGAAATATCATGAGCTCAGTTTTTGAAAGGTTGAGTTTTAAGAAGTGTTGCGACATCCAGACCGATATGTCAGTTAGTAGATTAGTGTCACGCAAGAGTTTTTTGGGTATTGGGGTGGCCAGGGCATGCTTTAGAGGGGAGGGAAAGATGTCAGTAGAGAGTGAGAGATTGAAAATGTGAGTAAGAGAGTGTAGGATAGAGCAAGAGGGTGACCGAAGTAGTGGTGAGGGAACAGGGTACAGGTGGCAAGTGGTGAGGTGGGTGTCAGAGAGAAGCTTTGTAACCTCCTCTGTGATGACAGGGTCAAAAGAGGAAAGTAACAAGTATGATGGTGGGTCTAGTACATGAATAGGGGAAGGTGACTGCACAATGGCGATCTGATCCCGAATTGTATCTATTTTGTTTTTTTAAATGAATCGCAATGTCTGGGCAGTGAGTGAGTTAGTGGGTGGTGGCGGTGGAGGACATAGTAGAGAGTTAAAAGTAGAAAAGAGTTGACGAGGTTTGGATGAGAGTGTGTTAATGAGAGTGACGAAATAAGTCTGTTTGGCAGCAGGGAGGAAGGAATTATATTTTAGGAGGGAAGCTTTGTACAAGGTGAAGTCTTGCAGAGATCTAGTTTTTCGCCACAGTCGTTCAAGAGCGCGGCTATGTCTTTTTAGATGTCTGGTTTCTTTTGTTTGCCACGGTTGTTGTGGACGTGTTCTATGTCTGCGTGAAAGTGAGCTGTTGTAGACAGAAATAGCCAGGTCAGGGCAAGAAAGGGGTGAGATTTTGTCATAGAGGTAGTCAGTAGCAGAGTAGAGAAGAGAAGGGTTGCGGTGGCAAAGGTTTCTCCAGGTGACAGTGTGCCGTGTAGGTGGATTCAGGGTTGGGGATAGGGTGAGGGGGAAACTGACAAGGTTGTGGTCTGTGAGCAGGAAAGGGGTATTGGAGAGGTTGCAAGGAGTGCATAGGTGAGAGAAAACAAGATCTAGTATGCTACCATCAGAGTGAGTAGGTTATCTTCTAAAACCCTTATGACCTACATCATCAATTATTATATTATTTCTTTACCTTTATTAAGAAGTTTTCTCTGCCCACTGCGCCAACTGTGTTGGTGTAGTTGATAAACAATACATTTCCTTCTGTAGCTGCATAAAATTCATACATCTGAACATCTCCAAACCTCCTCAGAAACTCACTCCAGACATCGGTCCGTAGACCATTTCCAATGGCCATCCTCACATTATGAGATGCGTCATCATCTGTCTGAGGAACAACATTATTTGAACAGATCAGGATTGCAAATGTGTACTGTGCAATATCAGGTGTAGAGTCCAGTTATCAATCTTGATTTCTCCTGTTACTGACTACAAAGACCTCTAAGAGGCGTGTAAGAAAGCTAGTGAAGTCCACGTGAATCATCATGTTACCCAAGTAACTTTAAGTAAATAATTACTTTACAAATATAAATGATATCTTACAGGTAGGGTTACCACCATAACTTTACATACATAAATGACAGTTATGAAGTGTGAAAGCAATACCCTTTTAAATAGGGTTATTTACAGTAAAAGCTCCACAGGAGCAGGTTCTAGCCAAATTAGTAGATTGCATAAAACCATGTATGTGTTTTTAATAGCACAAAATATAACTAGCTATTTATATTTATAGGCTACAGCACTAAAGACTGTTAATTTGCAGAGTATGCAATTGCCTCTGGTATTTTGTTTTCCTTTTAGAGCAAATTTAAAGGAGAATTATGGGGAGAGTGAAATGCACTCATCCCCATAATTAGAGCTGAGTTTGCTAAGTTCCCAATTTTCTCCCTACAGTGATGACTCAGTCACTGCTCCCCTTCCCTCTCCGTTGCTCCAACACTGACTCTAGAGAGGCAGAGCCAGCTGTCAATCAGGCAGCGGGGTGGATTCCGACAATATTGTCGGGTTCTGTCCCAGCTGCAGTGCTGCTCCACGCTGTCAGCATACTCTATAGTGGGCAATAGCCCGCTATATGTTGAGTTTTGGATCACAGGAGGACATAACATATGTCCTCCTGTGACACTAAAGAGAACTATGGCAAAAAAAGGTTGGGCCATAGTTCTCTTTTAACCATGCTTTATAGGTCTGGATTAACTGCAAGTTTAGGATTCCCAAGAATGCAAAGTGTTTTATTACATTTATTTTATTTTTGTCTATTGTTTGAACTTGATCTGGACATCTGCCATCCAAGCTTAACACCCAAGTCTTGCTTTAGCAATATTCCAGCTGACACCTGGATGGGAAAGTATTTTTTTCTGCATACACATCAATAGCATATTAGGGTGACTGACTTCTGAAACATGTGTAGTACTTTTTCTGACTAATTCACACATGCATTACAGTTATATGGTGAACCACAATAACAGGTACCTTAGGAACATTGCAAAGGTATCGCAACACTTCTCCAATATATTGTATAACAGTCACATTATACTTCCTGCAATCATCCCAGAACTGGCTGGCAGAAAACTTCTTACGCAACACTAGAGTGGCACCTGAGAGCAATGAGAGTAAATAAACACCAAAGACCATGAACAGATTATGAAAAAGAACAATTACTACTGTCATGATTATCAGTATAGTTCATGTGTCACAGAGCAAAACACACACATGCACACATATTAGGTTTTGTTAGAAGCAGCCATTCCTCCACGTATGTGCCTCACATAGGTTCTGAGGCATTACACTGAATACTTTAGCATCCATTAGCATTCAATTTTGAAGGGATGGCAAAGGAACGTAATCCGAAAAATGTATGAGTGTGAATGTGACCATTTTTTTTGTATTTTTTTTTTTAGCACAATGCGTCAACACAAAACGTGTCAACTGAAGTTAAAAACAAAATAATATACATATATATATATATATATATAAAAAAGAAAGATTGGCAAAAAAATGCAACGGAACGCAATGGAAGTCAACAGCGAATGGCTACTCCCATCCAAGCCTTTTCACAGTGGTCTTTTGTTTCTTGATAGAGTCCCACCAAAGAAAAAACTGTTATACGGCACAGTAGGAGAGATGGGCTGAGGAACAATAACATAATGATTCCAGCAGCATTTACCAATAGTTCTACCATCTGCTCTTCCCATTATGATACAATAAGTGACAGCAGGCAGTGCCTCTAAAGTTACTGACTGACTCAAATCATAAATTAAACATTTTAAGTAAACATTTTCTTAATGCGATTTATAGATTTACTTAATGTACTTGACCATGCTACTGAACGCAACTTCACCCTTTTGTGAATAACCCTGTAAATATCTTCGATCCTGAGGGATTTAACTATTTGTTATAATGATTGCACTACTTATGAGATAACTGTCTCTCAGTACCAAGAGAAAATCATTATAAAATAAGTTGAGCCGGTTCATCAAATGCTCTTTGGATAAAAGACGTTGCTTGTTTTTTAGGGAAAACAGGGTTATTATTCACCAAATAATACTGACAAAACAGAGAAATGCAATGTCATTGAATCAATTATTTTAGAATACAGACCTTGCTACTAAAACAACCTTCACAAATGATTTAAATACAGATGTCATCAGATTATGCCAGAAAGATAGAAGTGTAACAACTGTATAGCCCTTTTATAAATAACTTATCATCAATCATATAGTGGAAAGTTAGGGGTTAATTTGTAAAAGTTAGCGCCCCTTGATGGTGCTGACGAGTATAAGAAATTCTATGCCATCTAGGGGCACCAGTGCAGTGTAAACGGCATCTGCCCGGCTATATGCCAGGCAGAACTTTTATAAGTGAACCCCTTAGTGTCTGCCAGTGTATCTCTCAATTAGAACAGGCAGCAAGACATCAGCCTGCCATAGCCAAGAATGCATAACGCTGTGTGCATCAGCACTGTCAAAGTTTGAGTGTGATAAATGTGCAGTGAACAGATTATTCCAGAAAAGAGTCAGAATTTACCAATTCGTCCCTAATCACAACATACAGATGAACAATCCCCTTGAAATGTAGAACAGAAACGATTACCTTTCAAGATGCATCCATGGACTCCTATGAGCATAGCTGAGCTGTGGTACAATGGAAGGGTAATATAGATTATATCTCTGGGCCTGATATTGCAGATGTCAAAAAAGCCAGTAGCTAACAGAATGCGGCTGTGAGTTATAATAGCTGCCTTTGGAAGCCCTGTAGAAAATAAAAAGTAATCGATGAGTTAGCATTATTAGGCGTTTATAGCCAAAAACGTTTATTTCTTTTTGGAAAAGGGTAGAGAAGACTTGTGTGCAACTTTACTCGGAACGCTCTGGGAGATGTAGCTGAATATGTTATACAGGAACACCATATACAAACATGCATTCTAAAGCATATACTTTCCATTTATAACATCGGCATTGTAATAGGAATACATACTAGAGTTATTTCTGATAATAAAATCAAAGCTTACTTGAAAAAAAAAAATCCCTTTTATGTAGTGAGTGCTGCCTTCTGTCTGCCCATCGCTTTCATCAACTTCCTGGATTCCCAGTGTGCTTTGCATCACTTTCCCTGCTACTTGATGTGATCCAATCTCGATTTTTCAAGACTACATATCCCATCATGCATGGCTTCCAGCAAAAATCCCTTTGATCAGAGTGCTGCCTTCCATCTGCCTATCACTTTCAACAACTTCAACAACTTTCATCAACTTCCTGGATTTCCAGTGTGCTTTGCTTCTCTTTCCTTGCTGCTTGATGTGATGCAATATTGATTTCTCAAGACTACATATCCCATCATGCATTGCTTCCAGCAAGAAATTATAATGTTACATTGCTCAGACGTTAGTTAGAGTTTAGAGGGCAAAGTCTGTGAGGTGTGACACAAGAAAATGCATATTCACATGGCTGAGTGAAATTGTGTCTGTGCATTGAGGGAGTACATCCTATGGGCATCTTCAATAAGTATTTTACAAATTTCTAGATCAATATGGTTATTAGGAGTGGGATAGAACTTGTGTACATTCACTATAGCAATACATATTTATTTTTAGTTTTTGACCATAAATACCCTTTATTACAAATACACTGCATAGCATTTACTATAAGGCTACATGGAACCAATAAATGACCCTATAGAATGGCTCCATCGTGGAGATTTCTCCTCATTCTTAATCCCTGTTACACCAGGATAAGAATTGAAAAGAACTGGCAGAGCTTCCAACCCTTCCTTAGATTTCTAATAGTGTTTTTCATTGTCTCTGCCCCAATCACGACATTTCCTATCACTGCCAATAGAAAAGGAAGTGAGGGAAAATCTTTCACAGTGCTAAAACTTGACAGAAGTTCTAACGTTTCACTATTATGTACCAAAAAGTTTTGGCAGGAGTTGAGATTTCGGTTACAGGAGAAACTCAGAAGTAAAAAGACTGCAGCCATGCCATTGTCACCAACAATTTTGGTGACAATGGTTGTCACGTTTTACCTGTTGTTCCTGATGTGTAGATGTACATGGCAAGTGATTTTCCAGTGATAAAAGACCTTAAGGATTTTGGAACGGATTCAGACGATGCAGCTTTTACTTTGTCCAAAAATGTTTCAGTCCCCTCACCGACAGGTGTCTCCGAGACATAAAATATTTTTGCATTTTCTTTCCTGAGTTCCGGCATCACTTCATCTATGGCATCTTTCATATCTTTAAGAGAAAAAAAGAACATTAAAATGATAGCAATATATGCTTGATGGTAAAGCAGCAACACAATGTAAAATAACCAGCAATGTGATTCCGTGGTTTAGACTGAGCCATGACGTACAATGCTTGTTTTAAATGACAGCACAGTGGTCCTCTGGATTGCATTGAAGTCCTACAGAACTAAGGTTCTGGTCTCAAATTTCATCAGAACAATATCTGCACAGGAGTTGTAGATTATACAGAGGATTAGGAGGGTTTCCAGACAGTGGCCTAGTTTTCCATTACAGTACAAAATATACCGTATTTGCCGGCGTATAAGACGACTCGGCGTATAAGACGACCCCCTACTTTTGTGTTACAATATAGGTTTTGGGCTATACTCGTCGTATAAGAAGAGTATAGCCCAAAATAATGTTTAAATGCACCCTCTAACATCCATGGCGGTATTCCCGAGTGTGGCTCGGGGTTAATTTTCAGTACCATAAGCAGTAACCCCGAGCCACACTCTGTCACAAACATGTGTAATGTAAAACACAAAGGAATATGCTTCCCGCATCATTCAGGGACAACAAGGGCAGTGTTGAACTATTTTTCAATACATTTGGCAAACTGTCAGATTAAAGTGAAACTAGTGTGAAGTCCCCAATAATTTGTTTACCCTGTAAGAAAACCCAAAATCAATTTTTCACTATGTTGGGCACCATGTCTTACTGTTATCTTAAGGACATATTATTTCTGTGAATCTATTGCAAAGTTCGCTACCTGGAGATCCTGCCAGTGCAAGCTGACAGCAAGCTGTTGCATTTGGGGTGCCTATAAGATCTATCAGATAGTTAGATCAATGGCCAATGAAGGAGCTCACATGGCAGCCTGACAACTCTGCTGCTAATTGTGCAGCTGTGGCTCATTGTGGTCAGTCTGCAAAAGGAAGTGATGTTACTGGCAGCAACTCCAGTTAACAAACTTTGTAACAGATTCACAAAACATATTTGCTTAAGAAAGCTGTATACAGAGACATGATGCCAAACATGCTAAAAATACAGGCTCTGTATTAATCAATAAAGGCTTTGTATTAATGAATACAGGCTTTGTATTCATTAATACAAAGCCTGCCGTGATTGGCTCAGCGCGGTATACTGTATGTAGCAGATTTACGGGGGATGTTTTAAGGTCTCAAAACCCGTTTTATAAGCCGGCAAATACAGTATTGGTAAGTTAACTGGCTTATAACCAGTTTGGCCTAGAGTATGTGCGCACAGGATGTGCAGGGACTGATGTAATAAAAAGCACGGCATTCGATAATGTTCCGTGTAATGTCAGTGATAAAAAAGGGGAAAATTTGTTTATCTTTAGAAGGTAAAAGTAAACTATATTCACTGAATATTCAGAAAATAAATATATAGTACACTGTATGAATAACTAGTACAACCAAGTTTAAAAAAATCAGTCCTGTCATAGATAATAGATAACAGTTATATATATATATAATAAAAGCAAAGTTTATTCACTTTAACATTAATCTGCTTTTGTGACCTTTTTTTATGGTGTAATCACTGTCTGTACTTGCCTAATTTTCGATGATCTTTGTAACCTAGCTTATCTGTTATGTTCTTATCGAAGATCACCTTTCAATGAACTTCATTTGTATGTATTTTTCCTTTTGTGATCCTTCCTAATGCTGCTGATGTAGGGGTAAATAGTGCATTGAAATAGAGATCTCTACATTAGAGCAAAAAGAGATACAACTGAAGAGAAACGATAGGCAGAAGGATTTGGTTCCAAAAAGAGAGACAAAAAATCACAGGTCAATTGTATAAGCTGAAGTGCAGTGAGGTGGTTAATTAAGACGAAAAAGAGGAATAACTGTATTTATATCTGGTCATCTTGGACACAGAAATCTTGAAACTATAAAGATGCTACATGAAGATCAGCATGCCAGTGGCATAAAAATTGACCCATGCATTCAAATAATGAAGTATAACAGTTACATAAAGGAAAAAAGACCTACAAATTCCTAAAATTAGCACAAGCAATGTTGGACAACCCCTGCACTTAATTTACTCCAATCTATATAGTCCTATGCAAGCTTAGAATTCAGGAAAGAAAAGGTATTTTCTCAGATTTATTGATGACTACTAGTCTGTAATATACACAGAAAATATGAAGTTCCAGATAAATGTGAACAATGTCTTGCACAGATAGACACCACATTTGGCAAAATGCCTAAAATACTCCGAACAGATAATGGCACAGAGTACACAAGTGGTAAAACACAAGCTATTCTGATGAAGCATGGCTTTAGGTTCTAGATTGCTGTACCATACAATACAGAACAAAATGGTGTTGCAGAGAGAATGTGAAAGTAGAAGAAGCATGCTTATTGATGTGACAATGTCAACAACATACTAGGGAAAGGCAATTATGACTGCCTGCTATCTCCAAAACTGCTTATCTGTAAAAATTTCCATATGAGCCATGAGATAGAAAGAAGCCTGACCTCAAACATATCTAATTCTTTGGAAGCAAAGCATGGGTAAATGTTCCTAAAGAAAAGTGTACAAAATGGAAACTTTGTGCTAAGGAACGTATATATTTGTTGGCTACAGTGAGTCTCAAAAGGGTTGAAGAATTCACTATCCAGACACCAATAAGGTAACAATCAGCAGAAGTGTAATTATTAATAACAACACATATGTGTCAAAAGCCTCACAAAGTGACACAGTCAGCACCCTCTAAACAACAACCTGAGCAAGAAGCGCCATCAGTACTGCATAAAAAGGAACAGAATATCACTACAATTAAAATTGGTGTCAGTGGTGTTATCTTCTGAAATGGAAGAAGCTGAATCACCTGTAAGCTCAGTCAGAAAATCTGACTAAAGGTGCCCATACACTGCACGATTCTCGTACGAGAATCGCGGGAAATCCTGCAATCGTACGAGAATCGCGGGAAATCCCGCAATTGTACTAGAATCGTCCAGTGTCTAAGGAGCATGCTAGAAAACCAATGGTAAGATTTTCGGCTGGTTTGAATGATGCTCGGGAGACAAATGCCGAACGGGCCGGTGTGCGTACGCGCACACTGCCCGTTCAGCATTGCGGTCATCGGAAGCCCGCCCCTCGGGGGGCGGGCTTGCGATGATCGCAAGTACGATGGGCAGATCGTACGTTTTTTTAATTACTTTACAACCATCGCAAGACTAAAGTCTTGCGATGGTTGTAAAGTGTATGGCCACCTTAAGGGTATCCCAGCTATATGCTTGTCATATATATGGTTAATGCAGCACCATAACCTGAGCCAGTATCATAGGAAGAAATGTAAAAGCTTTCTATTCATGAGAAGCAAGTGTGGATTAAAGCTGCACATAACGAGGGGACATTTCTCAAGCAGCCTCCAGTTCAGGAACGTAAAGAATGCATGGGTGTCAGCACACCAATGGAAACAGCTTACCTAAAGTTAAAGGAGAAAATGTTTTACCTAACAATAGACAAGACAGACAGACATTGCAACTATACATATCCAGATATAGGAGCCTCCATGTCACTTCTCTGCAGATGTGTAAGAAAACACTGGCAAAGGGACTGCAAGGGAATTAAAAGAGAACTAAAGCCAAATCATTTTTTTGCATTAGTTCTCTTTTGGGTCACAGGAATACATTTACTAATGTCCCCCTGTGACCCAAAGTCAGCATCTACTGCCCGCTATATTCTGACAATGTAGAGTTGCGCTGGTGCCGGGAAAGATCCCAGCAATATTGTTAAGATCCACCCGCTGCCTGATTGACAGCTGTGCCCGCCCCCTCCCCTGTCTGTCTCTCCAATGAGCGCTGGAGGAACAGAGTGGAGAGGGAGGAATCCCTGCGGGGAGCGGTGGCTGCCAGTGGTGAGCTGAGTGATCAGTGATTTGTGATCGATCTGTTCTTGAGCTATAGAGCCGGCATGTGACAGCCGCAGTGTCACACACCAGCTCTAAGTATTGGGAACAGTACATTTTACTTTCCTAATTGTTGTACTTTAAAAGAGTCATGCAATACCAAACCACACTCAAGACATGAACCTGAGACGAACTGCAAATAGTGACGCATATAAGACTATATATGAGAAGGAGTTGTTGAGTGGGGGTGTTAGTATGTTAGTATGCTGTTTATACAGACATAGATGCAACAACCATTCTCATATATTATACTGTGATAAATAGTTCTACAACTAGGTGCTAGTTTGTTTTATGTTTAACGCTTGAATAATGTATTGTTCTTTTTCGTGAACCTACAAGGTTATGATGTTTTCTGTTCTGTGATCCTGGTGTTTTCAATAAAGGAAGCAGAGCTCAGCCATGTGTCCAGCACCATGTGACTGGTGAGAGCCATATCTGCAGGAGTTTCCCCAACATGGTCCCATGAAATATACACCTTCAGTTTGTTGAAAATGTCAGTTGCAGTGATTTCTTATATTTGTAGACAGCATAATGCAAGATTAATGTTTCATTGCTTACTATAGCCTACAATCAGTATTCTATTTCTAGCATGTAAAAGTTACATCAAAACCGCAACTGGATTGATGGCATCAAGACTAGTTCCGCGGTGATATGTCTATTGTCAACTGACAGAGAACAGTTACAGTGGCTTGCCTAGTAATGATTTGAACCTTGAACTAATGTGTTTAGCAACCAGTACTAAAGTCTACATCTAGATGAAAGCCTCCAATCACAACAATAAACTAGGTGAAAGGGTAACATGGCTATCAAACAGAACAGCAACAGTTCAAAGGGACAACTTTGGATTCCACTGGTTACTTTTCCTCTTTACAAATTGGCATCTCATTTAGGTGACAGTTACTGAAAATACAGAGCCAATGCTACGCAGTTACAATAATCCATTCCGAGAATGATCCTAAATCTGAGGTACGACCAAATAATGTGAATATGAGAACGCAGCTAGAGGTCTGCCTGAATCTTAAGAACACCCAGGCCAGGTTGGACTGTGGTGCTGAAGCTAGAGTCTGTAG